GATAAAAATTTGATGTCTTGTTTGGTTGCCATGTTTGGGATAACTTATCCCGCCATTTATACCATAGTGATGAGATAAGTTATCACATATACATGGAGGGATAAGTTATCCCAGGATAATTAATTCTGGGATAACTTGTTCCTAACCAAAGAAATAGTCCATGTATCATGTATGATATTATTTAGTACTATGTCTGGTAGGAATTTGAGCCTATGCATAACTAATCTATGTATTAGTTATACATTCTACGTGAAATTATAAGATGTATTACTAATACCTTTCATTTGGAGGTATTAGTAATACATAAGATATAATGCCATGGGATAAGTTTATGCAAAGACAAAAATATCACTCAAATCATTTTAATTATTTTGTTTATTTACATGATTTTATGTTTTATATTTGTACTTGTTAATTTATTTAAATAAATCAGCTTACAAATTATTTAGAGAGAGTTGTTTGATACTAAATAAATCCAATATAAATCAATACAAATTTGAAATGTGAGTTATTTAACATTTACTAATTAAAAAGACAAATATATCACTACATGATGTTTGCGATTTTTTTTTTATATATATATATATATATATATATATATATATATATATTTGTGTAGTTTTCTATCTATTTGTATTTTGAACTATTTAAAAAATTATATACATATTAAAATTATAACTTGCAATTTTTATGTGTAAATGTAGATGGTTTATTCAATTTTACCATTGTTAACCATCTTTTCGATTTTAAAAGTAAATGGTTTATCTTTTTTAAATTGAAAATTGACATGTTGTGAGTGATTAATTTATAAAGATGACAACTATTTATCCTCAAATAATTCAAGTGTAAAAAATAGCAAACATGACAACAAAATTGTTCTTCCCATAACTAGTTAGAAGGCCGTAAAAAATAATATTATCCGGCAATTATCTATCTTGACCCAATGACATAATAATTCAAGGGTATAATTGGAACGAAGATTTTTAAAGAGTTTAATTCAAACACAAGATGATGTAGGAAACAATGAACCAAACACTTAATAAAAATAAATTCTCCATTACTAATCTTTACGCTACTAATCCATGTATTACTATTCTCTGTGTTATAAAGTTTTGTACCAAACGACTATTAGGAAAAATAACGCATTCATTAGCATTGTGTATTACTAGTACCTTGTTTGGTACTCTTTTCCAACCTATGTATAACTAATGTTTGCATTAGTTATACACTCTATTGTGTATTAAGGTGTGTATTGCTAATACCATGGATTTCTAGGTATTAGCAATGCAGTGGTTTTAATGCATTAACTAATGACAAAACTACCCTCTAATAATAATAATAATAATCAACGTTACAGGATCACTGACCTGATACCAACGTTACAGGATCACTGACCTGGCGGTGGTCCGCCCAGTCATAGATCAAGCAAGTCAATATCATTAGAGGTAGTCCAACTACATAAGAAGAGAAATACACAAGAATTTTAACATAGTTTCTCGGACTGCATGGTTTAATTATTTTACCCAAGCAAATGTCATGTCAAGAAGCTAATACATACTTTTATTAAGCCCATGTGTCTGATAGTTCTAACCGGGTATGAGGCGCCCTACTTATTAAACTCAATTTCGGGCTAAAAACCACGGCTCATCAGACGGAGTCATAAAGACAAAGCCAATAAAAGTAGTACTAGATCTGACTGTACCTCAATCTCAGAACCAAGTCGAGAAGTCATACTAAAATTCTTCTATATTTAAATAAAGCTTAGATCCGTTCATGATCTATATAAAAGAGAAGTTAGTTATCCGGCATAGATATAATTACTTAGCCGGACATAGTCACGGCTTAACTCAGATATAAAAACTAAAAATAAAAAGAAGTACCTTGTAGCAAACAACACACTATACTATTCCTCCGGCCAAAGTCCGGTAAACTTACGATACTTGAAAATATTTTACAAGTGGGGAGAGAGAAAGTAGAAAGAAGGAGAGAGGGTTTCTAAAAACCTGCCCTCAATTAAAGAAGAACAGACCTATTTATAGAAAAAGAAAAACATCTTTGTACAGGATACCGGGCCCCTATCTGGGTCCTGGTAACAGTGTATTTACTGTTAGTGAACAGTGTTGCTACAGTAAATACACTGTTACCAGGACCCAGATAGGGGCCCGGTATCCTGTACAAAGATGTTTTTCTTTTTCTATAAATAGGTCTGTTCTTCTTTAATTGAGGGCAGGTTTTTAGAAACCCTCTCTCCTTCTTTCTACTTTCTCTCTCCCCACTTGTAAAATATTTTCAAGTATCGTAAGTTTACCGGACTTTGGCCTGAGAAATAGTAAAGTGTGCTGTTTGCTACAAGGTACTTCCTTTTATTTTTAGTTTTTATATCTGAGTTAAGCCGTGACTATGTCCGGCTAAGTAATTATATCTATGCCGGATAACTAACTTCTCTTTTATATAGATCATGAACGGATCTAAGCTTTATTTAAATATAGAAGAATTTTAGTATGACTTCTCGACTTGGTTCTGAGATTGAGATACAGTCAGATCTAGTATTACTTTTATTGGCTTTGTCTTTATGACTCCGTCTGATGAGCCGTGGTTTTTAGCCCGAAATTGAGTTTAATAAGTAGGGCGCCTCATACCCGATTAGAACTATCAGACACATGGGCTTAATAAAAGTATGTATAACTTTTTGACAGGCCCTTTGCTTGGGTAAAATAATTAAACCATGCAATCCGAGAAACTACGTTAAAATTCTTGTGTATTTCTCTTTTTATGTAGTTGGACTACCTCTAAGGATATTGACTTGCTTGATCTATGACTGGGCGGACCACTGCTAGGTCAGTTGTACGACTAAGAATAAAATCCTGAATCTCAGGAGGCCTTTGAATATGAACATCAGGCTGTTTTGACGAAGAAGCCTGTTCCGAAACTTGTTTCACAGATTTTAGCTTACTATCAATTTGAACAATCAGATTAGACATACTATCTAATTTTTTGTCTAGAGAACAAATATGTTCACCAATATCTTTAACATATAGGCCCAAATAATTATTTTGAGAAATAATTTCATTTATACTTACTGCGGCGACATCATTATCAATAAATTTATGAAAAGCAGTAAAAGTAATACCAGTATTATTTGGTAAAATAAACGGAGCTTGAGGAGGATAAATGGATTGAATAATATTACCCGATTCATTTTTGTAAGATCGTTCAAGAACGTTGATGAATAAAGGTAAATAAGTGGTTATAAACCAGGGCACAAAAAACATAATATGATTATGTAATGCACAAGTTTCATAAAACTCTTGAGAAATATTATTTAAATCTTCTTTACTATAAGTGTCAAAAAACCAAGTTTTAAACCGGTTCCATTTTTCATTTAAAAATTCGTTTTGAATATATTTTCTTGCCAGTGAACTTGGACTAAAATCAATTTGATGTTCACTCATCATTAAGTATCATTAAGATTAAAATCTATCTCGGATACAAAAGGAATATCCTTATCAGAAATATGAGATGCTTTATCATTCGTTTGAACAATGTTTAATCGAGGATCAATTTTAATTTTTTGTTTTTCTGTAGATATAACTGTTGATAAAGTATGTAATGAAGCAATGCGATTTCTTGCTGGACCATAACAAGGTTCTATCGGAGAAATATGTTGAATAGTCAGTCTTCTATCAGAAGCAAAAAAATGTCTACTATAAGGAACACTTTTTTCATCAAACTGCATACAAATTTTTTCATCGAAATTTTGACTAATATGAGAATATTCAGAATTAGTGACAACATCGGTCATTTGCTCAGGGGGCATAACAAAATCTAAAATCCAAGTGGTAGGAAAATTAATTTCTTCCCATTTTATAGGTCTTCTAGTAGTGACCTTAGATCTGACGAAATTAGTTTCTACTAAAATAGTTTGATCATATGTATCATATAACTTACATCTAGGATTCAAAGTAGCAAGTAATTTATAATAGATTCTATACGACAAGCAAATTAATTCAGATCCAGGTGCATAGTTATAACCATGCGTTTTAACATTCAAGGTTAAAGCATCTAATATATTAGAATCAGTCAAAGATAACTGCAAATTGGGCTGAGCATTAAAATAAACTGGACCATAAGCCACCGTAGATTCTATCGAACCCATCAAGGATTGACGAAAATTTAAATTCCTCGCATTTCGTAGAGCAGCTAAGAAAGTCTTTGGTAACCCTTTAAGAGTTAAAGGTTTAAAAGCAATTTAAACCATGCCAATATGCAAAAATTTATACTGAGATATATATAATTCAATATCACGCTTATTTAATAAACGAATGGTTTGTTCGGACGAGTTTAGCGCCAAGGATTGTTCAGTTGTTTTAATCAACTGCTTATTAGAAATCTTATCAAACCAACCATAATCATAAATGATTTTAATATTAACTTTCGGAATAGTCCATTTGTTTAATAAATCAAGATTTTGAGTTGTAAAAGAATGTGGGTGTATTTTTGTAAACAAATATTTTTTTAATAGTCTTTATACAAGACTTGCTATTTCCAATACATCAAACCAAACAATGTATAAGAAATAATGCAAGCATAACTAATGCAAGCATTAGTTATGCTTGTTTTACTAATGCATACATTACTAATACATCATATTCAACATTATTCTTATATACTCTACCAAACGACTCCTAAGTGTATTACTTGAACTACTAAGTAATAATTATTACAACAGAATAACTAAAGTAAAAAAAAACATTGGTAGATCTATTCGGCATGAATTATCTGACATGAATTTAAATTAGTCAAACACCGCTAAAGAATCGTCCAAACAAGGGGTAAGAAAACGAGTGAGGGGATGATGATGTATTCATTCATCCGCGTGTACAGGTAGTTGAAAATGGCGGCTCCGGTAGGCAACTTTCCATGGGGGGAAGATTTAAATGTAGAAACAATGATTGAACTCTCCCTTCCTTTTTACTGTATGCTTTCTTCTATCTCTTCCACTTTCTCTCCATTAATGCCTATTCATCTTCAATAATATCACTTCACCCATCTGGATCCACACTTTCTGGCCAATTCATACGAGTTACCACGTACAACTACAGCTAATTTATTCATATTGTTGTTAATACGAAATGGGTCATCATCATAACAACCACCATAGCCACCACCACTCCACCGCCACAGATGGCGTTCCACAGCGGGTCAATAGTCCACGATTCTCTGGACCAATGACTCGAAGAGCTCATTCTTTTAAGAGGACCAATAATACTAACCAAAACGCCCAAAATACTGGTAGTAGTAGTAGTAGTACTGCTACTTTGAATACTCATCATGAGATTGATGTACCGCTTAACTCACCTAGATCTGAAACCAATGCGAATATTGCTGATGGGTATGAGATTTTAGGAGAAAAGAAGCATACCCATTTGAGTAATGTTATCCAAAGGGTGCATTTGAGGAAAAAATTGGAATCTTTGACTGTGGATTTTGGGTTTGGATTGGAATTGAAAGGAAGGAAGAAGTTGGGGCACTGGATGTTCTTGGTGTTTTGCGGGTTCTGCTTGTTTATGGGTGTTCTCAAGTTTTGTGCCTATGGATGGTTTGGATCTGCTATTGAAAGAGTTGCGTACAGTCAGGTTATTTTGTAGTTCTAGAAATGGAATTCTTCACTCCCATCCGTGTTCATTTGTTTTTCCTTCAAATTTGGTTTGTTTTTGGGTGTTTTTCAAGATCAATTGGAGCTTAATTTAACACTTAGTTTTGAATGATTAAATATTAACTGCAACACTTTCTGTTCTTCTTGAGGTATTTGCTTCTCAGTAGTGGTCGACTTTTTTTGGCTATTAATAGTATGCTTGCCTGTAGTAAACCTTCAATCTAGTTGGTTGTTCACGTGATATGGTCCTGAATGTATCCATTACATGATTCCTACGAATTTTCGCAACAAAGACAGTGGGGATGTGACACAACAGTGTGTATCGTCTTTGATGCAACTATCAGGCTTTAGGTGAAACATGTAAAATAAAACATATGTTACATAGAGAACGAAGGAAAATGATGAGATAGGCAGATAGATAGCTTTGGGTTGTGTTAGATTTTAATCACGAGTTTCTTTGTTAGCCAAGTCTCTGTTTTGAAAATGCAACTAATGATTTTGCTGTTCTGCACTCTACTAATATCAAGACTAGTTGCATCAGTAAAGTTATGTTTTTTCAAATGTTCGACATTGCCCAACAGGATTCATATGACTCACTGGTCAGTCAGCTACGTCTAAGGGATCAAAGCACTCATGCCTATAGACATATGGAAGGAGATACCAAACATAGTGGAGAACGGAATCATTTGGAACAGACTCTAAATATGGTTGCATCGGGTGTTGTTGGTAACCAGAATAGCATGCTAGATGTAAGTTCTATCACAAATCTTCCAGCTTGTTAGTGCTAAAGGAAGTAACACTTCTAAATGTTGTTCTCTTTTTCCCTTTTCAGTTTTCAGAAATATGGTTGAAGCCTAATAGTGAAAATTTCACTCAGTGCATTGAGCGGACAAAGAGTCAGAAACGTAAACACCTGAACAACTGAAATTCGTTTTTATTCAGCCTATTAACTGTTTTTACCTTACCCTCATCCTTTTTGCTTTCTTTGGCAGTTGTAGATGCAAAGACAAATGGTTACCTTCTGATAAATGCAAATGGTGGCTTAAATCAGATGAGATTTGGGGTCTGGTTGTTATAGGTTTCACGCTTCAATTCCTTTTATTAAAGATTCCTATTATCTCCATCTGATGAACAAATAATTCTAGAATGCAGATCTGTGATATGGTAGCTGTTGCTAAAATCATGAAGGCAACACTTGTACTTCCTTCTCTTGATCATACATCCTACTGGGCGGATGAAAGGTGCTCTGCTTTTACCACTTCATTGAAATCATATTCATTATGAAATGGTTATTTTGATAGGCAAATGTTATGGAAGAAACCCACCACCCACGGCACATACTTTTTTTTTTTTTTTTTGATTTGCACCGGGTGTCCGAGTCTCTTTGAGCCCCGACTAATCCCGGGGGTGCACAGGCCCTCGGCAACCCACGGCACATACTTTAGTTAGTTTGAATAACCAAAATTATATGTATCATGTGTGTTGGATTGTTTTTCACCTTAGTAGTTTCTTGTTGATCCTTTTGTGTAATGTGTACTGACTGCACCCTACTTAGTAGACCCATTCTTGTATAAAACTTATAAAGATCATTATCCATATGTAGAGCTCAAAACTATGGAAATATGGGCCCCTTGTGAATGGACAAAAAGTCTAGCATCAAAGAACAACATAGAGTCCTAAGTTCGGGACTCTGGTTACAGGTGGTTCTATTTATGAAGTTCGCAGTCTCATATGTCTGGAGCTAAGTTGCTCGAACTCTTCACTTTTGATGCCGCACCCGTGTCGACACGACATGGGTGTGTGATCTGTGTCCGATTTGGTCAACCAATTTTGGGTAATTTGACCAAAATCGATGGGGAAAGTGGATAGTTTTAATGATTTTTCTAATCAATACAAAAGCTAAGGTGAAATTGTAGAAAATAGAATACCTTTTATATAGAAATTTCTATGTCACTCCTTTTCCTTTAATCTCCTTCCAGAATTCTCCTCAAGTTCTCCACATAATATCTCATAATTTAGGTTTTATAACTCTATTTTTAGATATTTCAATTATTTTTAGGCGAATCCCCGCACCCGTATCCATACATGGATCCATATCCCTGCATCTTAAAAATTAAATCACGAAGGATCTGACCTCTTGATCCGCACCCGTATCGGACACCTGCACCCGAGTCTGAGCAACTTAGGTCTGGAGAAAAATGAGAATTTTGGGATTCTAAAGTAAATAGATGACCTTTGGCAGGTGCATTAGTAGATGTTGAAGGGGAAGCTTTAGTCATTGGATGATTCTTAGTTTCTCATTTACATGGTTGATGGTGGTCCCGTGTTGCAGCACTTATGTGCTAAGAAATTCATGCGTCTAGCTTTGAGAGAAACTTTCAAGATATATCTGGGAGAAGAGAAGAAAAACAATTAAGTGAAGGAAGATCTCTTTTTTTTTTTTTATTGACATCAAAAACATAAAAGGTGTATTTAAGAGAGTCATGTTATAATACTTGGAGTTTGTTCCCTTGTTCTCAAAGTAATCATTGAAGGAGAAATGAGGTAGAATGGGTGAATCCACCGTCTGATGGTCTTTAAGAGGGTCATGTTAGGTTAAAGACAAAGTGGTAGTCATTCTTTTCTGTGATCCTATGACCAATACAAACGAGGTTAGTGTTGTTCAAGCCCACAATGTAATCTGATTTTTGCAGTTACATTACCAATAATTGACTGCGAATGGTATTCTTTATGGAACCTTTTCTTGATATACGTTACACAATTATGCTCACGATAAGAGAAAGAGTGTCTTGTTACTTGATGAATGGAAGCATCTCTCCAGGGCTGAGACTGATAAATCAGTTTCGGATGCATGTTGAGTATCTAGAGTTAGATAGCATGATTTATGAATGATGCAATGATGGAAAAATCCTCCTTCAAAGGAAGATTGTAAAGAACGGGCCTAATACTCAATTTTCTTACAGGTTTATTAGCCTAGAAATCAGTTGGCTAGTAGTGATGACACTTCGGGTTCGGGAAACTTAAAATAGAAGTGGTAAGAAAGAAATGTTAACTGAGGCATCACAATTCGATTTTGGAGGATCTCCTTTAAGATACAAGACGTTGAGGCAGTTGAAAGAGTCTCATCCTTGGGCTGCTACTTTTCTCTTTTTGTTGGGTAACAATTGTGTGTGCAATATGTTATTGAGAAATATACCCAGTACCCAGTATACCATAAGGGAAGCCACTTAACACAATATGACAGAAGTGTATTTAAATTCCACTCGCTGCCCATATTAGGTTCTTAAATCCAACTTTTAAACTGAAATTCCATTGTATACCACCATCATAGGAAAAATGCTAATTCCCACCTTTTTAAAGGGATTTTGTTTTAATTATACCCGCAGGTCCAATTTCAACCATTTATACCATCAATTTCTCTCTCTTCTTTTAAAAACTTTACTTGCAACAAAATCAGTTAAATTCATACCCAGTTTCTCTATATCTCTTAAATATTTCACACACAAAATCGAAATAACATATATCCCTGATTTTTGACTCTTCATTCAAGTATTCAAATCAGTTCTACTATATTCAGATAAAACTATACTCAAAACAACACCATTCAAATAAAAGTTACAATATAACAAACCAAACTTACCAGTACTCAAATATTTCCCACATTCTCTTCTACATGCATAATATATGGCATTTTATTTTCTTCTTGAGGCAAATTCAATTCCTCCATGGAAAAATTTGAAATGACAGATTGTTTGTTCTACACCAAAAGAATGGCGCAGAACACAATTTATGATAAAAAAATATCAATTAATAGATGAAAAGCTTGATTGTGGATAAAATTGATAGAGTAAGATGTATTCCCATGGAAGCAACTTGTCTCGAAAGTCCTAGAAATGCTTCGTACCAATGCAGAATTAGCTAAAAATAGGGCATAATGAAGAAAACGATCCATATAGGGATAACTACTATTTGAGGATAGGTTTTAGACTTGTTAGAGAACTTCTAATATTACTATTATTACAACAACATACCCAATGTTATCCCACAAGTGGCATCTTGGGAGGGTTGGGTGTACACAAACTTTACCCCCTACCTTGGAAGATAGAGAGGTTTGTTTTTGATAGACCTTCGGCTCAAGTAAACACATTTACAAAGCAGTTCAAAAAACAAAATCAGTGGGAGTGAAGAAGCCTAGAAAAAATGCTAAAGAACGCATGACAAAGCATCCTTAAAAAGGAATTGTTACTACAACAACAACAAACCTAGTGAAATCTCACAAAGTGGGTCTGGAGAGGGTAGAGTGTATGCAGACCTTACCACTACCTCTCTAAGGGAGAGAGACTATTTCCTTAAAAACCTCGGCTCAAGCAAATCAAAGTAGTAATGAAAAAGAAAACATGACAACTAATAGCAAAGTAGTGCAGAGCATATATGCAAGGAACTGTAACAATAACAACAAGGTGCAGTCACCTAAACACAGTAAACCGCAGATGATGTCGCGCAGCCACTGCCCGCTGCTCAGTTCTCACTTCTCAGGCTAGTATGCCGCTCATTGCAGTGCTGAGTGCTCGCAAGCAGCGCTGCTCAGTGTTCTCAACCACCTTGCGGGCCGCTGCTCAGTGCTTCGGTCATTGTCTCGCAGAGTCGTAGGCCACTGGTGAGTGGTGACTGGTCAGTGCTCATCGCGTCCAGCATTAGTTCACAACTCTCAACTCTCATCTGAGCTCACGGTCTCTTCTTAGTCGGCTAAGTTTGTATCTCACACTTAGAACTTCACTGAGAGACTGCGGTGGCCATCGTGTAGCAGTCAACATTCGATTACTATGCATAGAAATTGCAAGTTGATACTTGCAAGATGTCTAATGCTTCTGCGTTCTGCCTAGTAGATTACTATGCATAGAAATGATAAAAATCTGTTGTTGAGTATGGCACAATTCAATTCCTTTCAAATTCTAATTCCTGATGCGGAGGTTGTTAAAGAAAATTCCTTTTAGAGGAGGTGATTGCTAAGCTTTGAAATCAAATGGCATCTAGATGATCTTGTTGCTCTATTGATACTATTCTCCATGTGTTCTGTGAAGGGGAACTGCTAACTATTTTTGAGCTTTTCTTGAACTGCCAAAACATTTGCAAAGCAGTAGAATTGGATGTGATTTGTAGTAAGTTGTAAGAACTTGAGAGGTTGAAGAAATTGAACAAGAGTGATTGAATTTTGAAAATGTATCATTGTTTATTAAATTTGGTTAAACCGAAAATCGAACCGAAATTGTGATAACTGAATCAAACCAAATTTATTTCAATTTGGTTTGGTTTCACATTTTTACCAAACCGAAAACCGAAAAACCGAACCGAACTGACCAAACACCCATTCCTAGCTGGAAAGATATTGGCAGCAGAGATGCCAATGGGGATTGGAGGAGATCCATCCCAACTTGTGATTGGTGAACATTGTGGAAGGAGAGAAATTTAAGATGTTTTGAAGGCAAAGGGACCAACAACCAGGAGACTAGAATCCAATGCCTTAGTTTACTTTATTTTTGGTGTAAACAAGATATGGTAGGCGATATAATAGACATAGTTGACTTCATAGGTAACTTGTAAAGTTTTTTGTTGGGTAGTCCTCACTGAGGAAAGTGCACACACCATGTGTGGATCGTAAAATGATACTCATCATTCTTTGTTGATGAGTTTTTTGTTAAAACAAAGTTACCTTTACTTAAAAAAAAAACTTCCCTCAGAACTCTGTCATAAGCCTTTTCTAGATAGATGAACACCATGTGAAGGGCCCTTTTCCTCTCGCTATATTCTCTACTAGTCTTGAACTCTCTGACATGAATCCGAACCGGTTCTCGAAAATAGATATGCTCCTCCTCACCCTCATCTCTACCACCCTCTCCTAACTTCCATTGTGTGGCTTAACAACTTGATGCCCTTATAGTCGTTGCAATTCTGAATGTCACTTTTGTTCTTGTACAACGGGATCGTCATACGCCACTTGCATTTTTCTGGCATCTTTGCCGTCTTCAAAGTAAGCTAGCTTAATATTAAACAACTAGTCAACCATTCCATGTATCTGCGCTCATCCAAAATTCCACTGGTATCTCGTTTGGCCCAGTTGCTCTCCCCCTACGCATCCAAATGAATAACACCTTTAACCTCCTCAATCTTTATACACCTACAATACCTAAAACCACAACACCTCCCGAAGTGCTCCAATCTCCGTCCCTTTTTTCGTTCAATA